ACATATTGCAGTTTGTTTGTAAAAAAATTTCACGACTTTGACCTGCCCTTAATGAACTATTTCATGCACTGAAAAAAAATTTATTTGATTCAAATAATCGATTACTGGACTATTATCAAATAAATATTTATTTATATCAACTAATTTGTTTCAAATACAGAAATTATTGGTTCCAATACAATTTATTTAATTCAAATAAAAATTATTTGGTTCAAATAAATATTTATTTGATAATACTCAAATAATCGAGTTTTTAAATCAAATAAATTTTTTTTCAGTGTGGACACTCAAGTTTTAACTTGAAAACTTGTATGGAACTTAACTTGTATGGAAAAAAATGCATTTTCGTAAAAATATATTCATAACTTTAAAGTAAAATGAGCTATTTCGTGGAATTTGATACATATATTACTAAGAATAACTAACCATATAAATTTAAAAAAAAAATCAAATACTTTTATTTTCTTTTTAGCTTGCAACAATTTATTTTAACAGAAAAAGTTTTTTTTTTAGCTGTGAAACCTTTTTTAGATCAATGGAAATGCTTCTACTTTTTTATATTCTTTAGCAATCGAAAAAAAACTTTGTGAAGCCGATACTGAGAACAAATAACGAGCGCGTTTATTCGCATATAACGAATCTCGTTTCACTTTTATCAAAACTAGTGTGTAAGAGAACATAAAAATATTTTCCGTTGAGAAAATAGTCAAGTTTCACCTGATGTGCACAATAAATATTAATTGCATCTATCGATAACTTCAATATTTAATTCATATATATGTATTTTTCTCTTTATACTAAGCATTAATTTCTTTTTTTTTTTTAAATATTAGAGTACAAAAAAGAATAAAAATCCATATTTCCACCCGAAATATCTTTCTTTTTTAAAAAAATAATTCAATTAAGTTTAATATTTTTAAAGTTTTAGTTCAAATTTTCATTTAAAATAGAAAAATACATTTTTTTTATTCATTTTATTCGTTTTTATTGAAAAATGAAAAAAAATATTTTTTTTTCAAAAGTACAAAATCAATTGAATTATTTTAACTATGTTCCAAATTTTACGGATTTTTGTCATGTACTATTCAAACTTGGTAATTTTTTTTAAATATATCAAAAAGTTAACTTGAGATAAAAAAAAAACAGTATCCTAAAAAACGAAATGTACGTTTGATGTGCGCGACTAGAATACTTTTGAACATTCAACGAACTGAATCTCAATTTATAAAATCAATAATTGAAGTTTAACGTGCTTTAAATTAAAAAGTCAACAAATCGAATCTATTATATTATAAAAGAGCTGAAGAATTTTCACAATTTTTAAATGAAATTTTTTTTGCTAAATTATTGAAAATATTGAAACAAGTATAGAGTTATTAAAAAAATAATAACAAAAAAATTGTTTATTTTAATTTAGAAAAATATATTGTAATAATTCAAGAAATTATTTTTTAATAATCTTTTTTTTTTGTTAATATAATTAGAAATTGAATATATAGGTTAAATTCTACAAATTGAAAATAGGAAAATAAATCATAAATAATAATTCTTTTATTTGTTCAATGCAAAATTGGGGAGAAAAAAACCAATTTAAGGAAGAAAAATGGAAAGTTAGTATAATTTCTTAATCAATGTTCTCTATATCATCTTTGCAGCGCCCCTAACTTTCGTGATGCATGTTTGCTGAAACTCGCATTTACCGCGAAAAATCACGTGACTTATAAAAGGCAGTGTATAAGTGGTCTTAAATCATTTTCAGCAGCCATAATGCATACATTCGTTCACTTTTCTCATATACCGCAAAGTGAGGAATTTTTTTTTTTTTTTTGGTTTCTTTTTACAAACCAATAAAAAGTTGATGCACGAAGTTGACAAAGTTGCATGTGAGCTCAAGAAAATTTTGCCATTTTCATTTTTATTTCATACATATCACAAAAGTTATTTTTCAATATAATTTTTCATTTCATATTTTCTTTTTTTTTTTAATTATTGATACTTAGTAAAAATCATTAACGATTTTTCAGAATTGTGCATTTTTTATAATTCACGATTCATTTGAAAATTACTTACTTTTATTTTGCGAGAAAACCTGCGGAAAATATTTAGATGTAAAATCACAATAATCATTATAAACCTCCCTGAAGTTGGCTTCGACGCTCAGCGACGAAAATTATTTTTTGCTGAATCAAAAATTTCAAATTATTATTTTTTTTTTTAAATTTTTCAATCAAAATAATGCCTTAAAAAATACTTCTCAAGGCATTGTGTGGATCCAAAACTTTTTTAAAAAATGTTTTGATATTTTTGATTCTGCGAAAAACAATTTTCAGCGCTTAGCGTCGAAGCCAACTTCAGGGAGATCATAATAACGATTATAACCTTATGTAAATAGAGGCCGTAGAAAAATTGGACAGTTTGTTCTTTATATTTTAATGTTTTAATTGGTTTTTTTTCCATAAACCAACCTTGGTATGTTTAATAAATTATATTTCACTTTTTATTTATAATGAGATTTTTATTGTTTCAATACCACTGAAAATTTGAGGTTAACTTGTCACATACATTCGTCGCCAGACATGCCAACAATTTTTTGTCCTTTTCTAAAGCACATGTTGTCATGGCAACACGTGTCTTAGAAAAGGACAAAAAAGTCTAGGCAAAGTCCACGAGTATACAATAATATCAGTCATACCAACTCTGCATCATTTCCAAAACGATACGTTTTTGTTTATTGTGTAAAGGCCTAAGCAGAATAGATTCTTGAATGGGAACGCAATCGTAAACGGAAACTTAAGAATGTGTAGGAGAAGGATAGCAAATATCTTTATTCTTCTCTCACTCATTCTTACGTTTCCGTTCACGATTGCGTTCTTGTTCAAGAATCTATTCTGCTAAGGCCTGAACCAACTTTATTTTGGCACAAAGGTGCCGTCTCATTTTATAAAGGCCAAAAAGTAGAATAGAAACCTAACCGAAATCGTAACCGCAAACGCAACAGGAATAATGAGTTAGAGAAGGACAAACTTTTCTTTTCTATAACTCATTCTTTCGGTTGTGTTTGCGATTACGATTCCGGTTACGTTTCTATTGTGCTCAGACCTTAAAGGTCAACGCAGAACATAAGTTAGAAAATGATGCAAATATATCTCTGTCCTTTTCTAACGCATAAACCTCGTTTGCGATGCTATTGTACGTTGACCCTAAAATCGTCGGCAAAAAACATGTGGTAATAGAGATGGATAGATATCATTATCTCTGTTAATTTTATGGTTTTTGTTTTTTAATAACGCTTTTACACCTTCATGTGATTTCATCCTAAATCTCAAAAGATCGAATTCAATAAAGTCTAAAAACAATATCGAATTGTTAAAGCAGAAAAGGACAACGTAAAATAGCTTCGCGAAAGAAGTTTACGAACGTAGTTCATGAGATAAAAGAAGGAAACAAATAGGGTAAAAGGTACAGTGACCGACACCCAGACAGTGAACGACACCTGCTATTAAAAACGATAATAACTATAAAAATAATAATATTTAATTAAATATCACTAGTAAATTAATTAATATAAAATATTTAAAAACTTATACAGTTTATACAAAATTTTATATGTTTATACTTTCCTCAATATTTAATACTTTCTAGAAAACTAACCTCAAAAAATTTGCTTTATTGATTACAAATTTTATAAATATGAAAAAATTGTTAAATAATTATATTTTAAAAGCAACTTTTTTTGTACATTAAGTCTGAATAATAAAATTTATGATAATACTAATAAATATCATGTTACTTAAATAGAAGTTTAAATATTTTTTATTTTATTAAAGGCTGTCGTTCACTGTTTTCATACCATACATTTTTAAATTAATATTATAAACTCTTATCAAGGTGTTTTTTAATTTTAAACTTGTGTACTATAAATTTTAACCCAAATCTTTTATTTAAAATTTATTTTATAACTAAATCTTTAATAAATTACGATAAAATGTCATTTAAAGTTGAAAGTATGCCCAGGGTGTCGGTCACTGTACCCCTTACCCTATATTTATGTCTTTTTCTAACGCAATTAATTCATTTACTAAAGGCCTCAGCAGAATAGAAACGTAACCGGAATCATAATCGCAAACGCAGCTGGAAGAATGAATTAGAGAAGGACATACAATCTATCTATCCTTCTCTAACTCATTTCTCCGTTTACGATTGCGATTTGTTAGTAAAGGCGGAACGTAAAGGCCTGAGCAGAATAGAAACGTAACCGCAATCGCAGCCGGAAGAATGAGTAAGAGAAAGATAGACATATTGTTTGTCCTTCTCTAACTCATTATTCCGTTGCGTTTACGATTACGGTACATTTCTATTCTGCGTTGGCCTTAACTACTTTCGAGAAGTTATTGTGCGTTAGCCCAAAAATCGAATAAACGCAAAATAGAAACGTAACCAGTATCGCAATACGAAGAATGAGTTAGAAAAGGACAATTATGTCTATCCTTTTCTAACTCATTCGGTTGCGTTTACGATTACCGTTATGTTTCTATTCTACGTTCGCCTATATATTTAGAAATTCGAATTATCAAAAGATCGAATTTTATAAAAAAAAAAGAAATTAATGAAACTTTAGAAGAATGAAAATATTCATTAAACCTACTCTGAAATTGATACTTATTGACACCCAAATAGCTTCTGAAGGGTTTCTTGTTTACTTTAGACATTTACCAAATTAGGAATATTAGGATGTAAGCATCACTCGCCCCGTTGACGTAGAGGGTAAGGTGATCGAAGGCTATCACTGTGTCAGCTATTATAGCAATTAGAAGGGTCTCACTCGATATATGCGCTCACGTTTACATTCTATACGTATATATATGTATATGTGTACAGGCAGGGGGGTAGCGAAATATCTAAGTGCGTGAATCAAGTCATCGCGAATGGGGGTGGTGGTGTTGTTGATAGTTCCTCAAATAACCGACGTTGTGGCGCTGCGACCTTAGGGAAGTCGACAGTTCGCTATCACGCAGCGACTCGGTCGGAACTCTCGAGTCACGTTGTGGCGTCCCCTTCACCCTCGCGATATATCCAAATACCCTCCACGAGTTTGGAGCCCCGTCTCGCGATGACGGGTGACTCCTTGTTCAAATTTTTGTGCTAGTGTTTACTGACGACACTCGAAAAAAAAAAAAAATAAATAAAACAAATTGAGGAATCGTTATCAACATTTATCTTCAAATGAGATTAAAAAAAAAAATCTTTGAAAGAATGTTAAGAAAAAATCTTCGACTGGTATTAGTCTTCCACTAATAGAGATTATTAGATTTTTCTGAATTATCATCAGTTATCATCATCCATTTTTGCTTTGATTTTATCTAAAAACAATTTTTTGGAATAGGGGAAAAAAATATAATAAGTGATTATTGTTTCAAATGTGATTTGGAAACTTGAATGTTCAAAAGGCGCAGCTCTGACCTATACCCCAAGCAAGGTGTGTACATATAGAAAAACAGAGATTTCTCATAAACTGTGCTCTGAATATTAAATTCAATATTTTTCAAAAAAGTATTGAAAACAAAATTACTGAACTCAAATATTCTTTAATTATTATTAAATCACCCCCATGTGCAAAGTGATTATTAATAGAGACCAAAAATGACGGCAAGTCAATAAAAAAGCATTTCCAAAAATTAATTTAAGGATTATTTGGTGTGTAATTTTATTGGAAGCTGATACCCATTTCGAGAGTAAAAAAAAAAAAGGTTTCAAACCTCAAGTGATTTGAAGAATATAATATATATATATATATGATAAAAACGAGATGATGGTGAGAAGTTAAAATTATTGAATCCATCGAATTGGATGAAATCAGTATATAACTTTCCCGGAAGGATCTCCACTGTTTTTCAATTAAAAGCTCATTCGTAAGTTCATTTATCGTCGTGCGGTTTTTGTAATCGGGTTTCGTTTGAACGAAGTATAGAAAACGAGTATAAAAAGTTTTTCTTCTTGTACTTCAAAAAAAGTGTGCCGGAGTGAGAAAAAAAAAAAGTAAAGTGAAATTAAGTTATAAAAGTGAAATCCACAGTGTATTATTGATTGGTGATCTCCGTTAAATAAATATATAAATAGTGCGAATCGATGTGTTAGAGTTTGTTTTGTATTTTTTTTTTACTGTGAGTTTTGTCGGGTCAACGTGAGAGAAACCACTTGATGAGACTGAAGGAAACTTGGCTGTAAAATTGTTTGCATCCATATATAGAGAAAGAGAGAGAGAAAGAGAGAGAGAATGATGAATAGTTGTGTTGCGTGAAGGCAAACGCTTCTGAGGTGATTGCCACCGCCGCATTACACGAAGAAAATGTCGACCTGAAAAAAAGGTTATTTCTTTTTCTATATATATTTTTGTTTGTTTTGTATATATATATATGCATGGAAATTATTCTTTCAGATTTTATTTCGTATATATTTTTTTGAAATTTAATTTTTATTTTTTGGGGGGTTGGTGGGGAGTGAGCCGGGCACATTGCCAAAGAACCCGGTCTTTTTTCACGGTCGATGTAACTGGTGCATTTAAAACGCCTCAACTGCAAAATCTCGTGGAACTGGATTCTCCACACTTGTCACACGGACGCTGATCCGTAGCAAAAAATTAGTGGGGAAGTCAGGAAGTAGGGAGTTGCGGATTCTCGTGAAAATTGCTTTTTTTTAACCCACAAAGCTGGATTAAGGCCATCCGGGAGAAAATAATGGTTTTGTAGATTTCTTCTCATTTGAAAAAAATAGAATATTTTAGGTTGTAATTTTTTGGAAATAATAGAGGAAGGTACCCTGCCAGGGGCTCTTCTCGGAATTTTGCATAATCTTGATAAATAATTATTGAAAAAAATGTTTAAACATTGGCAAAAAGGGGTTTCGTAAATTACTTCTCATCTTTAAAGGATAAAGTATTTCGAGTTGGCATTTGGAGGAATAATAGAGGAAGGGTCACTGAGTGGGGCTCTTCTCCATTTTTGCAATAATATTTTGAGGAAATAATTTTATTAAAGATTTAAAGTGGAGTAATTTGGGGTAAGTTAGTTCAGCAGCGGCCACTAGCTAGAATTGGCGCCACCTTCTGGGCCACTGACACATAGATTCAATGTCTGTGTGCTCGCCTCCCCTACTGTCCCCACTTTTATCAAAAATCAAACTTTTATAATCACGATTTTCAATACTTTTTTATAAAATTACTTGTAAAAATGGAGATGATTCTTAATCAGCTCGCCCTCATCTAATTAATCCGACAAATCCGAACAAGATATTTCAAGTTATTTACGAGTAATATCTCGCGCGGGAAAACACTTTTAGGTTAGGGATTTTTCCCGGATGGCCTTAATATACTTTTTGGTGTTAATTAAATGACAGCTGGGTAGTCGTTTACTTTTTTTTTTTTTTTTTTTGAGTTTTTATATATAGGTTCGGGGAAATTTTTTTCATTTTAGAATTTTTGTCCGTGTCGAGGTGGTTTTAAGTACTTTTCATATAGTTTTAGAAACATGACATTGCAGTTTGTAATATTAGTTGTAATTGCTTTTACAGCACGTCGGTATTTATAAACTTTTTACGAAACATACAATAACTAAATATAGAGAATAACACGATTTAAAAAAAATATAATTTCGTTAATACAGAAATTTAATTATGTTATTTATGTGTTTTCAAAATTATATTATGAAGAAATTTAATTTCATTGAAATAATTTTATTTTATTTTTTTTTTTAAAACGTAATCTAACCTCAAAATTATATTTTACCATTTCGCAGTTTTATATTTTGTTTATTAAATTTACAAATTAATATAGCAATGTTGCAAAATACAGTTGAAAATAATATTCTGTGTATAATTTGAGATAACAATAACGTTTAGATTGATTTGGATAAAAAAAAATTAAACAAAAAACGTCTCTAAAACCCATGGAGAGTGAGAGATAAAGAAGTGTTTCATTCACCTCTCGCTGGCCCCCCTGTAGCGCTAGTGTCACATCATTAAAAAGCAATGAATTTTGTATATTCAGACAGCACCAGAAATTCCATGAACATTTCCTGTTGTTGAAATTCTGAATTTTAGTACATATATATATATTATTGACGTGCAAAACTCAGGAAATATCTTCTCTGTGTATAATTATGAAAATGTCCACATGTGGAGAAATATTGAACACAAAATTTAAGCGAATGTTGTAGCGTAAAGTTTCAGACATAATATTGACAGGTACGAACGGCATTTGGTTTACTCACTCACTCTCTCTCTCTAAATCTGAATAATATTTAAAAATAACGAAAATTTTGACTGATTTTTTACTTTAGGAATTATAATAATTGAAAAAATAGACAAATTTAATTAGAATTAAATTAGATAATAGAAAATTAATTATAACATAACCTATAATAAATAATACAAACTAAAAACATAACCTCTATAATTGTTTTAATCTGAGTAATTGCTAAAGAAATATTTGTGTTTGAATAACATTTTTTATGAATTTCGTTTCTAAAGATATTTTTTGCATATATTATTGATTAAGACATTTAAAATATATTTTCTGACAAAATTTTTTTATAATTTTTCGTATTAAAAAAAAATTCTTTTCTAATTGATAATCGTATAAAGTGTATTATGAACTTTGGCATCGTTATTTAAAGAATTCATTGAAACATTAATTAATAATATCAATAAATAATCCTGATACAATTGTTTTTATTATTAAATTTTTTTTATTTATTTTCTAAAATTATTATTACTAGTGAAATCATATAATATTATAATTATTATTATTATTGTTAAATATTGTTATTATTATGAAATTTTATTTCCTAAAATTGGTTTAATTATTATTTATAATATTTAAAAAATATTTATGAAATTGTTCAAATTATTATGATAAACAAGAAAACTAATCTAAGTAAAATTACAATTTACAATGGTAAATACTTGACAAACTTTGTAAATGAATTTTTGATTTTTAACTAATTTTATAATAATTAAAAGTGAAAAATAAATTTTTAATTAAATTACGATTTTTACACGAAGCTGAAGTTCGCAATGTTTATAATAAACGGTTTTTAAAGAAATAATTTTTTTAAAATAAAAAATTCTATAATTTTTTGCCTAAAAAATATTTTTTGTATTTTTAATTATAGGCAAAAAATTATAGAATTTTTCATTTTAAAAAATTATTTTTTTTTTTAAAATCGTTTATCATAAACGTTGCGTACTTCAGCTTCGTATTTTTACAATTGTTGACAAGATTTAAAATTTACATTACATAATTTTTGTTTATTTTTTTTTGTATACTTATCGATGAAATAAATTTTATTCTAAATTAAAAAAAAAAAATTAAATTATCGATTAGCAAAATAATATTATTATTTAGTATAAAATATGCAATTGTTTATTTATAGGTATATATGTACATATTCTTGAAATAGTAATAATATTCGTATTTTAATGAGGCTAATTATCAATAATTATTATTTATTAATTAATCACAGAGACGAGACACAATTATTATTATTATTATTATTATTAATTTAAATAGTAAATATCATGATATGCACAGACTAATGGAGCATATTTCGAATAGATTATGATATTACATAAATTTCAAAGTTTTTAAAATACATTTTTTTTTGTTTTATTAGATATTTAAAAGGACATATATTTAAAGTCGATTATTTCGCCTCTATTTCACTGTTTTTTTTTAAATTAACAGAAAAAAAAGAATTCTTTTGCCAATTTCGAAATGAGAATTTTTAGGATAATGAAGGTGTAAATTTCTGTATTATAATATATATGTTATAAAGGAAATTGTATGAATTTATTAAAGTTTCGAAATATTCCAAAACTTTTGAGGGCGAATATTTGAAATAAGTATAAAGTTGGGGAGAAATATATATATATATGACATTATAGTGTTGTACGTATAACTGAAATAAACGGTGCGATATTTTTTGAGCAATTGGTATTAAGATGAATTCTCTTAGAAGACACAGGACAAATGGTTGGGGTGAAATGGAGGTAATAAATCGTTCTGAGGATCCTTTGGAAGCTTGTGTTTTTGTCATCCCTAAGTCGTAAGAACAAATATCTGCTTAATTGTTCCGGTGAATCAAATTATTTTACCTTAATTAGTTCAATTCAAACCAGGAGAGAGAGAGAATATTATATTTTGTCAAAAACAAATTTTTTCAAATTTTTAAAAAAATTATTACTTAAAAGCGAAAAAAAAAAAAAAACAATTACAATGTTGTTTTAGCCACTGCCATCAGTAAATATTTTTTTTAGTGAAAATCAAACGTGTTACAATTAAAAAATTTTATCAACAAAAAAGTAAATTTTTTATTAAAAAACACGAAAAAGCTTGTTTAGTTTATTTTATTTTAGTAAACATAAAAATGGTTTCACCAAAGCTTGTCAAAAAAAAAAAAAAAAAAAATTCTTCTCTCGAAAATTCAAGTGTTACGAGTAAAGATGTATTTCAAACGGTAAAATACATTCGTGTTGTGTATGCATCGGCTGTTAGTAGCTAGAAAAACTGATCAAAAAGCATGTTCTATTTGCTTCTTTCTTTTTACATTGGAAATGTCTCTTTTCATGGACTCGTGCACTTTGCGTTCGACAAGATTAACACTGCACTTTGTACAAATAAATAAAAAAAAAAAAAAAAAAAAAGCGATTCAACATTCTCGGATTATTTTTCCAAAGCGAAAGGTACACATCTAGGACCATTTGAAACATAAATCTCACCTTGTGTATATATATATATACACATCTATTTTCAGTTTTTCTATGTCAGCTGCAAATTTTTCAAATTGTTTTGTTTTTATTTGCATATATATATATTTTTCGCAGGTAGAAAAAACATTTTTATAAAAAATTACATAATAAAAAAAAAGTTAAATTATATTGCAAATGAAAAATATTAAAATTAATTACATGGATTTTATATTTCACAAATTTGTCTCACAATTCAGTGCAATATTTGTTTTTAAAATTTTTTTAATTTTACATGTTTTAATAATGTTTTTTAATTTTTTTTGCGGAATTTTAAGTTTTTCAGAAAATAAATTTTTGCACAAGTGGTAAATGTAGCACAATTATTTGTTTTATTTGTAAATTTTAGTTTTTATTTTTTTGCCCGGAATTTTAAGTTTTTTAAAAAATGAATTTTTGCACACAAAAAAGCACAATTCAGCAGAATATTTTTTAGGGAAATTTTAAATTTAAAACATTTAAAAACTGTTTTTTCCCCCCGAAATTTTGAGTTTTTTAAAAAATAAATTTAAATAGAAAAAAGCAAAATTCGTTTTAAAAAGTGTTTCTTAATTATTATTTGTGTATTTAAAATTATTTTCTTTGTTTTATTGCCCGGAATTTTGATTTTTTTAAAAATGAATTTTTGCACAAAATATCACAAATTCAGCATAATATTTTTGTTTTGAAAATTTTAAGCTTAGACGTTGTAAAAATTTTTTAAATTCTTTTGTCCAGAATTTACCTCCCCGAAGTTGGTTTCGACGCTAAGCGCCGAAAATTGTTTTTCGCAGAATCAAAAATATTAAAAACATTTTTTAAAAAGGTTTTGGGTCCACACAATGTCTTGAGAAGTATTTTTCAAGTTTATTATTTGGATTGAAAAATTTTAAAAAAAAATAATTTGAAATTTTTGATTCATCTGTGAAAGATAATTTTTGGCGCTGAGCGTCGAAGCCAACTTCAGGGAGGTCGGAATTTTGAGTTTTTTAAAAAAATGAATTTAGGCACAAAAGTGTATAATTCCAACTTATTTTTTGTTTTTTTTAATTTTAATTTTAAACGTTGTAAAAATGTTTTTTTTTATTTTTTTGTACGGAATTTTTTGAGTTTTAAAAAAATGACAAACGAGCACAATTTGAACTATATTTGTCACAATATATTTTTTTTTCTTTTTTTTTTGAAAATTTTAATTTTAAACTTTGTAAAAATGTTTTTTAATTTTTTTGCCGGGAATTTTTTGAGTTTTTAAAAAAATTAATTTAGGTATACAAAAGAGTAGAATTCAAAGTGAATTTGGCACAAGATTTGTTTTTGTTTTTTTAATATGTGCCAAAAGTTTTGAACGTTCAAATCAACGAAATATTTTTTGGAACTTCTTTAAGTACGAATTTTATTACAAAATATTGTTTTAAATATCAAAAAAGAATTTTTTTATTTAATAAAATTGTTAAATTTACTGTTTTATTTTACATTGACATCATAATTTTTAATAATTTATAGATTGAAAAAAATATTTCGTTCATTTGAACGTTTAAAACTTTTGGCTCATTTTTTAATTTTAATTTTAGACGTTGTAAAAATATTTTTTTGGGTTTTTTAAAAGCTGAATTTAGGTGAAAAATGAATTTTTCTAAAAAATCTTTTATTTTATTAATTATTCAATATTTAAATTAAAAAATCCATTAATTTAATATTATTTTATCTTATGTCACTCTAAGTAATTAGGTTTTTTTTTTTTTTTAAAAAAAAAGATGTTTTTAATTTACAATACAAGCCGCAAGGTTCAAATTGTGTCTACACGATACATTAATTTAATAAATCTATTCTGAAATTTTATTTCCTTTTATACTCTAGATATTACTTTAACATCAAAATTAAAATATAATTACAGTCCTGATATAAATTTATGCGGTTCTGTATATAATTTATATAATAAAGGAGGCATAAAGTCTAATCTGAAATCTCATATTTCTTCTATATGTATATTATATAATATCAGAATAGTATATGTACAAATTTTCTTTTTTTTTTTTTCGACGGAAAAAAAAAATGGTCGTTTGTTTTCCTTTCACCATAGATTGAGAGGGGATTCGCACATTCTATGAATGTACCATTTCATCTATGAATGAGAGGAGAAAGCATGTCAAATAAATTAAGACCGGGGGATGCGTGTGTCCTAGAGGGGTTGAAATACTTGCCTGAATAGAACATGAAAAAAAACCAGAGAGAGAGAGAGAGAGAGAAAGAGTTATACATCTTTCTCCAGGGACGTTTTAACACGGAATGTCATGTATGATTTGAATAAATGGCATATCGTGTCCGAAGTGATTAGATATGGGTTCAAGAAAAACTGATTTAATGCCTGAATGACGTTTCTGCGCGTATTGCAAAAAACGATGATTTTTTAAATTCTTTTTTATTTTTTATAAATATTTAAAAAAAAAAGTTTTAATTTTAAATTTTTTTTCAATAAATGGATTTAAAAAAATAAAATTTCGAATCACTTTCATATTGATAAAGTTAGTTTAGTTTAAATTGAGTAACATTTATTTGAAGTAACTTTCTATATATATATATATATTTCCAGTTGCGGATAATCTATTTTGCGTCCACCCTCTTATATATGTGTAGAATGTGAGTAACCATGGCCAGGGACATTATTATCCTTTGTTGAGATGCAGAGTCCAATAAAACTTTTCCAGTTAATTTTAATGTATTAGGACAAATGCAAATAAAATTGTTCCGATAGGGGGAAAAAACTTGAAGAATAGAAAATGAGAAAAATTATTTCTAAAAGTATAATATTTTTTTATAATCAACGTGTTTGGAAGTAATATTTTTTCACGTTTCTCATCATAAATGAGAAAGTATTTTTGCTCTAAATAAAATAATAATCACATTTTAATTTTTTTTCTTCAAATTCTGAAAATCGAATATGTTATTAGTGAAAATTCAAACTAATAATAACTTCACTTTTATCTCAGATCTTAAAATGAAAATATTAAAAATAGAAAATAAATTTTTCGTTTGATCATTAATTATCCCTGAGTATTTGATCTTATTGCGATAAATTATACGCCTTTTTCGTTTTATTTTTCTGACGTAAGCAATTTTATTAATCAATAATGGACTTGAGAAAAAAAAAATTTTTTTTTTTACTTTATTTGCATTTGATTAACAAAATTTTTCTTTGTTGCAGGTCGAAGATTATAGTGATCAGTTTTTTATTATGTGAGTGAAGTGGAATCGTCAGAAAAAAAAAATCAAGATGACAAACATCTCAACAAGTTGGATCATTATTGTTATCACATTGGCTGTAATAATTAACGGTGAGTTTTATATTTGTTTTCTATAATTTTTATATTTTTCACAAAATATTTAATAATATAAATTATAATTTTTTAAATTTTGATTTCGATTTTACTAAAATTTTTTCATTTTTTAGTACTCTACCAAAAAAGGGTTCCATGATTTTTTTTTCAATTTTTTTTTTTTTATCACATCGGTGAAGTTTACAACGTTTATGATTAAAAATTTAGAAAAACAAAATTTGTATGCAGATTATTATAATTTTTTGACTAAAAACATTTTTATATTTTAATCTCAAATTAACAATAAAAAAAAAAATCTAGGCAAAAAATTGTAGTATATTTTTTGCTTGAAAAATAGATTTTTTGTTTCATTCGTTGATCATAAACGTTGATATGAACTTTAGCAACGTTTTTTTTTTATCAAACTGTTGAATAGATATGAAATTTTTAAAATTTCAAAAGAATTTTAATGATTTTTTTTTTTGAATATATAGTCATAACTTCTTTAAAAATGCATCAATTTTAAAAGATTTTTTTTTTAAATTGTGTATTTTTACGTGAACTTTTCGAAAATTCGACGGCAAAAATTCAAAATGAAATAACTTACCTAAACGTGACTTTTTAAAACCGAAATGATCGATTTTTGAAATATTTTTAAAATTCAATCTCTGGATAAATAAGAAACTTGTTTCCGTTTATGCGAAGATGGTGCGTTTTGTTTTATATTAAAATATTATTAACAATTTTTTTCTACTACTAATAGATTTATAAGCATTTATTTTATAAATATAATCTTTTCCTCTTATCATTCTTGTGGTTTTGTAAAATTTTCAGAAATACATCAAATAAATCTTTTGGATTTAGCTTAAAAATTGTAAACAGTATTTCAATGGGAAAAAATTCAACTTTCGCATATAAATTTCTTAATTTATCAAAAACTGTAATTTAAAAAAATTTCAAAAATCGATTACTTTGGTTTTTGAGAAAAATTACATTTTAAACTTAATTTCAATTTTTTAAATCCTTTCGTTGTTAAGTTATTTTATTTTTTTTTTTGCTATTTATATTTCAAATATTCAAGAACATTAGAAAAAATTCTATATTTAATATTATTTTTTATCTGTTATACCAAAGAACGTTGGTGAAGTTTGCAACGTTTATGATCAACGATTGAAAAAAAAAATATTTTTCACTCAAAAAATAATAACTAATTTTTTGTCTACAATTTTTTTTTCAAAAAATTATTAATCAAGAAACGTTGCAAAAAAAATTTTTCGATAAATAAATAATTTGCATAGAAAAATATTTTCTCTTCTCAATCGTTGATCATAAACATTGTGAACTTCACCGACGTAAGAAAGAAAAAAACATATATGTTTCAAACTAGTACTCTTAAAAAAATCATAACTTGCATAATTTTTATCAAATAAAAAAGTACGTATTCTCTTATTTCTCATAAAGATTTCAAATAAAAATGGAAAAAAAAATTTTTGATTTTAAATCTCACATATAAAATTCAATTAAAAAAAAAAAAAAAAAAATTGATTGATTGATACACTCTTGTAAGATGAAAGAATTGTCGCGACTATTATATTGAAAATGAAAGAATAATATTGAGCATCATCATTATCTAGAAATTGAATCGAACAAGTAGAAAGAAGACGTGATTTAGATGGGTGAGTGTCAAGGTGTCATGCACAGAAAACCGTGATGATATCAACGTGTCAAAACGTAATTTTATCGCGAGGGATTCGTTCTCCACGATCACTTCGTCAACTTTCCCGTTCCGCATCACGGAATCGAATAGGAATGAATTTAAAATTCAAATCCTTCTCTCTCTCTCTCTCTCTCTCTCTCTCTCGGAATTTCGCTTATTGCTGATCGCGGCACCAGCCTTGTTATTTTTGTTATTCGAGAATATAGCAACGAGAGAGAGAGAGAGAGAGAGAGAGAGAGAGAGAGAGAGAGAGAGAGAGAGAGAGAGGGGGGGGGGGAGAGACATGGGCAAAAACAAACTCTCGCAAAAAGACATATATATTGGGGTTAATAAAATAATCTAATGCAATTTTTCGTTAGCACCCAATTTCCATTTAATATAATTGCATTTCAACAAATTCCATTCGTTAAAAATCAATCGCCAGTTATTGACTTTATACAGGTAAAAAATTTAATTTTTTTTAATTTCACTTTACCTAAATGATTTACTGTTATATTTTTCAATTATGCTATACATATGAAGCGAGTACGGTTGTAACAATTTTTCGTTTTTTGATCACAATAATAATAATATTAATAATTATTTAATTATTACAAAGATAATTGATATCTATAGTGTGTGTGAATAATGATATAAAAAATTTATTTTACAATTTATATAGAAAATTTCATATGTATTTTGTGTTAAGATAAAATCGAGAAATCGATTTTGCTACACTGAAAAAAGGGTTTGGTATTGACAACCAAACGTTTAGTTGGTATTTAAGGAACCAAAATTTTTTTGTTGAATCAACAAAATTTTAATTGTCTCAATCAAAATTTTGTTTGACACAACCAAAATTAGAAAAAAAAGGATTTTTGTTGTCCTAATTAAAGTTTGATTGGGACAACCAAAATTTTGTTGATTCAACAAAAAAAAATTTGGTTGCTTAAATACCAATCAAACGTTTGGTTGACAATACCAAACCCTTTTTTCAGTGTACAACTGTACCCAAAAAAAAAATCATTAAAACCGTACCCTTTCTTCTCGAAGAAAAAAAAAAATTTCCGAGAAATCGATTTTGTTAAAACCGTACCCGATTACCCGTATGTAATTTTTATAAATAAATATTATAATTTCATTTGATTTTGTCCATTAAATTGCGTTCATTGCATCAAATAAAGTATTAAATTTTTATCAGTGCGTGTCTTACATATACACAGAAGAAATAATGGATAAATTTTGTTGTGGATAATTTTAACAAATCCTAATTCACATAGACGGTGGCGTCCTCAATTAGGATAAAATTCGTTGCAATTAATTTTTATACCGATTTTGAGGTAAAAATTCTACTTTTTTTTCGTGTGATTTTCTAAAGGTGTGAGAAAAATGAAAATTTTTTAAAAAATAACATTTGAAAGTTGTGAAAATAAAAAAAAACTACAAACTTTCCGACATGTTGGAGATGTTTGAGCAACGCTTTGGGTGTATGATATATATATAGGTATATATAAATTTCTAAAACATTAAAAATTCAAAACACTAGAAGATTCATCGCTTTAAGCGTGAGTATATACACTACACTAATGTCAACTGATTAAATTTTAAAGCTTTCCAAAATCTGCTGATTCAAATTTCTGGAGATTTCGCATCAATTTTAGAATTACTATATAAATTAATTATTTAATTCCCATGTTTTCTTTAAATATATATATATATAAATTAAATTTAAAAATAATTCTTTAATTATTTTCTATTTTTGAAATCAAAAATCTGGGTAGTTTAATTTTTATTTTTTTTAAGTAAATACACTAAAACTGTGTCACGTCAAGAGTTGATGATGACACTTCAAAAATTTCCCCCTATATGTTTCTTGTTTTACACCACTTTTAAAAATGTACTGAATTAAGTGGGTTATTGTTAAAATTGTAGCTTTAGTATAAGAGCCGTTTCGAAAGACGGGGTCATGGTTTCGGTTTTTTTCAACATTTGAAAAAATATTGTCTTCAAGATTTATTTATTTTTATTCTAATATTGTCACAGTAAAATTTTTATGGTGGCAATATTATTTGTTTTCGAGTAAAAAATGTTTGAATAAATTAAATTTCAGGACATTGTATATTTTTGGCATTGCTAAAACCAAATCAGCTGTCCATTTTATCCGTGATTTTACCCAATTATTTCATAATTTTGACATAACCTCCAAAAACCTTAAAAGGAATACAAAAAATAAAATTTTTTTTCATTCAGATTCAAATCCAGTTTATAATTCATTTTACCCCCATCATGTTAGGATTTTGAAATAACGTCAAAAAACTTAAAAAGGAACGTTATTCTTCAGCTTTTGTGTTTCTGTGAAGCTTTTTTTTGAGGTTATGTTAAAATCCTGACTTGATGGGGTAAATTAAACACCAGATTCGGTTTCAACGACCTCAAAAACGTATAATAAACTTGATTTGAGTCGTTGAATTATTTTTCACGTTATGACATTTTTTTGAGATTATGTCAAAATTCTGACATGATTTGGTAAAATAGACACCGCACTGAGAAAAATGGAAAAACGAATAAAGTAATTTTTACTACTTTAAAAGTAAAACTGTATAACTGTCCGCAGTTTCTGCGAATTTCTGTCAATTTTTACTCCAGAAATATAGTAAAATATACTATTTTCGGAATAATTTTTACTATTTCAGGAGTAAATTTTACTATTTCTGAAGTAAAAATTGCCAGATATGCGCAGAAACTGCGGACAGTTCCAATTTTACTTTTAAAGTAGTAAAAGTTACTTTATTCGTTTTTGCATTTTTTCTCCGTGTGGATTTGATTTTCGTGGCCTCTTAAAAACACATACGTATAATAAACATGGTCTATATCCCAGGTCCAAACTTTTTTTTGTATGATTGTATTATTTTTGATGATAATGATAATGACAATTGTTCTCTAATCTTTTACCATAAATTTTGAAATTAAAAATTTCCCTTATTTCTTCTTTTTTTTCTTCTTTATAAATTTGATATTTTCAAGAAACTCGCTGGTTATCCTGACAAGCGTAAAAGTAGAGGTTAAAGTCATTCAACTAGAGGATAAAAATCGACTACAGAGTGTGTAATAATCAGCCAGGTAATGCTGTCACGAGAGTGATGAGCAATCAGGCTTGAATAATGCTTCGTTGAGAGAGAACTTTTACTTTAAGTTTTCAATTTGTTTTGCAATATTTTTGAAAATTTTACCTTTTTATGAAAAATATGCAGTACGGTTTTTGATGTGCCATTATCCAACGCTGCTGCTTGCACTCCCGTCAATTCCAATGACAGCGTAATCT